CAGTTGCAATCCATTTAGTGTTTGACAGACTCTTATAAGTCAGAACATGATTTGACCTGCTTGAGTCAGTTTACAGAACAAAATTTCCAATCAAAGCTAGGTGTTCTTCCTCTAAGCCCCTCTCCTAAATATGAATCTGCTACTGTTGAGTTAATAAATTGATAAGTTTTTTTAGAAACAATTCAGCCAAATGGTTATTAAAATATTATTTTTTTTGGCAACCACAAGTATTTATTTTAGGGGATCTTAACATATATTTCCTGTGTCTTTTATCTGACGTTCCCATACATTCATTTAATATCATATGGCAATGCCCGGCTTAAATATTTCAATAAATTTATTTTAGTTTTGGACTGACTCTTTTAAGTCAGAACATGATTTGACCTGTTTAAAACAAAATACATTTAATATTGAATATACCAAATAAACTTTTTTATAGTCATCATTATTGTGACTTATGGGGACCTAATTTCCTCAGTCTTTTATCTGGCTTACCTATACATTTTTAAATCAATATGACAATACTAGACTTAAAAGTTGTAATACGTTTAGTAAGTCAGAACATAATGTGACTTGTTTGAGTCAGTTTGCACAACAGTATTTACCTCAATGAAATATTAAAATAATAAATGTTTTGCTCTTAATACATTTAGCTTAAAGTGGATGAGAATATATCTTTTATTAACATAGTCTTATCATGAATAAGTGTCTTGTTTTTCCTTGGAAGATTTGAAGTATTGTCATGGTACTAGTAAATGTATTTTGAAATAATTGAAAGTGATGAGATAAATATATTATGTTTAGATTCTGGAAAGGAGAAGGTATGATGTCAGATGAGCCCCACTTTTTAAAACTCTTTAATTCGAAACTAGTAATCACCATATTTTTATGGAGATTGAGAACAAAGTGGTAGTAATGACTGCTTCAAATCAGAACAAAAATGACCTCTCGAAGTCAAAATGCATTAAAAAGGGGCATAAATCTTATTAGAATATGAAGATATTAAGTCACAATATTTTGTGCAAAAGCTGACCTGTGGAAGTCATTTTATGATAAATTAAAGTCTGACATAAACTGACCTGTACAAGTCATATTCTGTTGAGTGCAAGAAGGGAGACAACACTTACATCAAATTATATCTGACCTATGGAAGTCATTTTATTCTGACTTGTTTATGTCAGAGCTCTGACTGAAGACTCAGCCGAACCTTGAACTCGTCGAGCGTTACGATCTTGACAGAAAATCAATAATCAGCTGATTGCATTTTAAAATAGCTATCCGCAACAATGGACTAATTAATAAAGATGTCGATTGTATTGTTTAATGAAATTGTGTGTTAAAATGGCTTCACTGATCACAGAAAGGATTTTTTTTACAACTTTGATACAAATAATTGTTTTGAAGTGGGTACTTCACAATCATTTTAACGACGCACGTGTTCAGAGCAGGGGCGTTTCCAGGATATTTGAAAGAGGGGGCGTAGGATACAATCTTTTGCTGAGCGGGCCGAGGCGAAAAATTTTTTGGCTAAAAAACATAAAATAAATGTGAAATGCACTAATGTAACGGTTCCTGACTTGGAGCATGTATATTTTATAGTTAAAGTGTCAGGGTTGGATATTTTTTATGCCGAATTCTCTCCATTAATTGTCTATGGTATATTAAAATGATTGGATGGATCTTAACAGCAGTAGACCAATAACGAGAAATTCCAAATTCTAGGGTATAGGGCGTTACTTTACATTTCAATAGTCCTAGGCCAGGATTTTATGAACGGGAGGCGTTATTCCGGTTGCCCTGGAATAGGGTCCATGGGGAAGGTCAGAAGCTCCTGGATTTCAACAATTTAGCATCAAATTATGAAGTATTATAACAGACTCCATGATAGACAAATAGGTGAAAATAGTCTGCTTTCAGATCATTCAAATTATGTATTGATTAACATGTGGATATCAAATCTTTGGAAGAAGTTGTAAATTCAGTTTAAAGGTTATATGAAATGGGCATAACAAATGAAAAATAAATCTTTAAAGATAGCTTTTTCTGAATTTTTGATATACCCGTTTTGTTAAAATATACCTTTTCACTGTTTTGGTCTTTTGGAAAATGTTGTTTGTGCTGTATTTAGACCCCTTTACCCAGAAATTTGTTTTGCATGCACACGTATAAAAATTGAGGTTTTATCCAACGCAATCATAGGTTTGAACGTTGTTTTCAATTTAGTAGATATAAAAAGATGTGGTATGAGTGCCAATGAGACAACTCTCCATCCAAGTCACAATTTATAAAAGTAAACCATTATAGGTCAAAGTACGGTCTTCAACACGGAGCCTTGGCTCACACCGAACAGCAAGCTATAAAGGACCCCAAAAATTACTAGTGTAAAACCATTCAAACGGGAAAACCAACGGTCTAATCTATATAAGAAACGAGAAACACTTATGAACCACATCAACAAACGACAACTACTGAACATCAGATTCCTGACTTAGGACAGGTGCAAACAGTTGCAGCGGGTTTAAACGTTTTAATGGTACCAAACATTCACCCTTATCTGAAACAGTAGTGTAACATTGTATTTATATTTACGATACCCCGTTCTAGATAGTCAAACTGACCCCTTCCAATGCAAGGCGAAAAAAACCTAATCCCATTTCAGACAATTTAGCTGAAAATGCAACCCCGTTTGTCGGAACATACCCGGTATCATATATATATAGCGAGTATCCCCCGGGAAGATGTAGAATGGCCATTGGGGAAGTGTCACACAAAACAACCATTTCATGTATAGATTTACTTAACTGCTTTGGTTGTTTAAAAAAGGTGTCCAAGTCACCTATCGGATGGGGGAATCAGTATAAAAAGAAATCAGAGTATGTGTTTAATTAATGAATATGATAAATTGCCATATTCAATACAATATAAGCAGATAACGATAGTTTTTTTTTTTTTGAAAAGGGGGGCGTACGCCCATTACGCCCTTACCTGGACCCGCCCCTGCAGAGCATAGTTATACGTATTCAATTTTTTTAACGATGGTGCAGAAAAAAAAACTGTTGTTATGAAATGTTCAAAAGTAAGAAAAATATCTGACTTTAGCCTTTATCCTTCAACTAGACGCGAAGTATCCAATAAACTTATTGAAGATTAATCCCATGTTCCAAGAAATCAAATATGATGATTTCATGTCAGATTTAAATTGCAATTTTACAGTATCTTTTAAAAAAGTAAATAATTTATGAGTTTTTATTTATTAAAATGTACATTGAATAAACAATCGATATGTAGAATTATAATAGATTTTAGACAACAATGCTGCAAACTGATATTTTTGTTAGCAAGTAGGAAATTTAAAAAGAAAAATATGTTTCTGTAGTTGGCGAAAAATAATTGAAAGTGACGAAAGAGGTGGCTAAAAAGAAAATTGACCCAGGGGAAACCCTGATGGAACATTGAGTAAAACTTGTGCCTAACATCTTCTTGCCACTATCAACAGAAATAAGACTTGACAGATATCCCATTGAGGAGTAAAAAGTTTTATTCAGGGTGTGATGGTTTACACAGTTTGCACTGTTAGTCACTTGTCCGAAGCCCAAATAGTAAAATGTTATTCCAACTAGTCACTAGAAAGTATTTGCAAAACTTTGTTTACACACAGCCCATTATAGTCATAAGAAAAATTTTGGAATATTGGTCTTCAGACTAGAAGTTGGAAAAGATTATGGTGCAGACTGTTATATACCCAGTACATCCTTCAGAAAGGAATAGTCTTCTTTTTGTCAATAAATTTAAATGTCTTCCCGATTTTGTAGGATTTAATAAATATTCATGGTATTCTGTACTTGAAATTTAAATATAATTGTCTTTTTAAGTGTTAAAAGTAAGGTCAGTGGATCATAATGGCTTAAAACTTTTCCAACTTCACGGGTTGGTCTAGCTCTGTACTCAGGAAATTAATATTCTAGGTGAAAACAAAGCCATTGTTGTCCAATAGTTAAGATGCATGTACGTATGTCTGATAAGACAAACTCGTCTGTTAAGCTGTGAAGTCTGATGTCTAACTAGTCCTAATAATTATGACGTCTTGAAAGGCTATTTTAAATTTTTTTTCTGTGACACCTGGAACACAGAAAAAAAAATTAAAATAGCCTTTCAAGACGTCATAATTATTTGGACTAATGTCTAACAGAAAAAAAAAGAAACTGTAATAAATAATTAGTCCAAATGTTCAAAGGCTTTTTTTTTGTTGTGACTGAAAGGGTTAGAGCTATTTAAATTGTTTTGCTCCAACGCCTTCCTTCGATGTCATAAGATCCTCTCAAGATGACATAACTATTTTGACTACCTGCTGCATTTGTTTTCACCTATCCTAAGCCAGGAGCCTGTGGTTTAGTGGTTGTCATTTGTTGATGTGGTTCATATGTGTTTCTCGATTTTTATATACTAGTAGCTTTATAGACCGTTGGTTTTCCTGTTTGAATAGTATTACACTAGTAATTTTTCGGCCCTTCAATACATTCTGTAGGTTGCTGTTCGGTGCGAGCAAAGGCTCCGTGCTGAAGGCCGTACTTTGAGCTATAATTGTTTACTTTTCACATTTGTGACTTGGATTGAGAGTTGTGTCATTGTCACTTATACCACATCTTATTTCTAATAAATAAACGTGCAGGGGAGTTTACCATAATTTTTCAATTCAATTGTATTAATTTTTTAAGTTTACGTTTTCATTCTCATTTTTGACATGCTTTATCTAATTATAAAACAGAATCAAAAGGCTACCGATCGTAACAATCTGCTTAAAACTTTGATATTTGATTAAATATGCGATACCACGTGGTTGTGAAACCCCCCTTTTTCTAAATTTCTTATCCTTATTGCAACAGTGAACACTATGACCCAGTAGTATTTTTGCAAAGATATCACAGCATAGATAATGATATTTTAAGTTCGATTTTAAGTGCTAGTATATATTTGTGCTGTAATTGCTATCAAATTCGTACCTGGAAATCCCATTCTTACAGCACGTGTTCGTCGTTGTTGTCGTTTTATCTACCCAAAATGCATTAGAAAAGCAACTTCCGAATTGATGTAATCGGTAACCTTCGGAGGAATCCGCAACAGATGGAGGCAATCGACAATCCTCGGGTGAATCCGCTACTCTCCTTAGATGAAGGTACGGAATCGGCCGAGTTGTGACGAATGCAGATGGAGGAACGAAATCGGCCGAGTTTAGACGAGTGCGCTTTGATGGACTGTCTACAAACCTCATGTGAGTTCTAATACGATCAAAAGTAACAACGTACCATAAATAAACGAAGTCTGATTGGATGTGAACTGCGAAGTCTTTGATTGGACGTGAACTGAACGTGATTGATTGACATCCCAGAAAGAGTGTGACATATGTTGAATTTAAGAAATTGGGCTTTTTAATTATTAGTAATAGAGTCAAACAACTAAGACTCAATCATGTTTTCAACATTTTTAACAATATATGCCCAAATTATTTACATACTAATTTTGTTAAAAATAAAACATCTTTCAATACAAGATCTAGTAGTAAAAACTTCTATATACCAGGAATTAAAGGGTGTGAATCCACCACTTTCTTTTATAATGGAATAAAAGACTGGAATTCGTTACCAGACATGATTAAAAGTTGCTCTAAAAAATATAATTTTAAAGTACAAGTGAAAAAGTTTTTGATGGATAAATTTAAATCCATCTTTAATAGTGAATTTGTTTTTTATTAATTATACTGGGGCTTTGACCATATATCTGTGATAAATTCTAAATGATTTGTGCTTGTATTTCCTATGTGTCATTCCTTGGTGTAAACTGGAAGTCTCCGATTATAAAAGGACCCCACTGGAAATAAGTTTTAATAACTTTTGTGGGTCATCCTAAGATATTAGGCTATTTAAATTTCACTCATTATTTAATAATTTCATAATTTTATTTTTTAAATTAAAATTTTTAGTAAACATGTATATCATTTTAGTGTCTATAAACTATATCTAGTGCTATATCTGTGTCTTTGTAATATTTTGTATCTGTCAAATTGATGCCTTTTTATCTTGAATAAATATATATATATATATACCCTAAAAAATTAAAGAATACAGAAATTAAAGACCACCCATCCAGACTGTCTCATAGAAGTATTAACTTCTAGAGATATTTCCTGATGAAGGAAAGTATCATGATAAGTAAGCGACCAAGCGCTTTGGCCAAAGCATAAAGGCCTTTTTTGTATATATATATATATATATATAACCAGTCTAAAAGGGTACAACATCACCAAAAAATGACAATAAACGAACAAATGTAACTATAAATTTTTCGGATAACAGATATCCTTCATCAATATGAGCACGATGTAAAATGAATCAGATAAATCTATTCTGATTATTAAACTATAGCAATCTTGAATTCTATACAATAAAAATTTGCGTCTCTACATATGATGTTCGGGTGAAACTGTTTCACTTTTTTTATTGTATAGAATTCAAGATTGCTATAGTTTAATAATCAGAATAGATTTATCTGATTCATTTTACATCGTGCTCATATTGATGAAGGATATCTGTTATCCGAAATATTTATAGTTACATTTGTTCGTTTATTGTCATTTTTTGGTGATGTTGTACCTTTTTAGACTGGTTATATATTATATTTTGTAGTGTACTGTATCATATTTATATGATCCATCGCCCCGTAAGATTTATCGTTGGCTATTATTCAGTCATTTTATATATATATATATATATATAGAAGTCTATAAAAAGGACCAACCAGCAAATTTACTATGTACCGGATCGTCTAGAATAGTCGATACTGTGCAGATAAGGAAACAATTATATAAGTCTAGAGATTTGCACAACGCATATAATATGGTATTATACGAAGATGTTGTTATTAAATCGTGTTGTCAAATATTTCGGCTTAACAAATAGCCTTCTTCTCAGTGTCAATAATTTTAACAATACTGATTGTATGTATCAAAATAGATCAGTAATACAGGTAAGTTTTGGTCTATTGATTTAATCCAAAATCCTGAACATCATAATATAAAACAAAACTCGATACTCAAATAAACGTGACTGTGTGTATTTACATCCCAAAATGAGTGAAAAATAAAACTTAGTATTTTTTATTGATGCCGTTTGGATGATGTACATTTAGTTCCTTTATCCAAAAGCTTTCCCGAACCTGTCGCTGGGCATCACTCCAGTGAATGTTCTGTTCAATCACAAAGATTTCCATGCGGTTAAAGTCATCAAGTTTGTTACCAGACTGTCTGAAATGCTGAGAAACTGGGAGAAGTGGCTTCTTAGAGATATTACTCCTATGGCCATTGAGGCGTCCTCGATACCTCCAGCTCGCTCACAGATGGCATATATCCACTGATCTATATTCTAAGCCTACTGACTTTGTCTTTTATTTTGAAAAACAGCAATAAATAGAGAAAATCTGACAGGAGCAACAATAGTTATAATGTTGAGATCTACGAATTGTCCATATGCGTTAAAACCGTCACACATCTTCTTATAAGGAGTTATTTCCCTTAAATGACAAATTTTACCATTTTGTTTCACATTTGCCTATTATTTTGAAAACAATTATAGCTATAGAGAAACTTCAGAATGCAAAAATGATAAGCTGGACAAGTTCTACAAATAAGTCTACATGGTCAAAATCGTCAGCGACTCCTTATTACATTTAATGCCCTTTGATGACTATGTTTTGCCTTATATATCTTAAAAATTATAATAGATAGATAGAAAACTTAAATAAGCAAAAATGATCAGCAAGTCAAGATATACAAGTTAGACAAAAGAAGGAAATCGTCCGACGACTCCTTATTGCAGTTATTGTCCTTTAAATACTGTAACAATATTTACTATTTTTTTACGCTTTGTTTTTTATGATAAAAATTATAATAGATAAAAGACACTTTAAATCACAAAAGTGATCAACAATTAAGGCAAGATCTACTAACAAGTTAAAATTTGCTGATCATATAGTTAGTAGACTGTCACTTTTTATAGGAGTGATTGCCCTTATGAGAGGATTTTTTATCCTCTTTTGTGATTTGAGCAAAAACTACAGCTAATCAGACTAAATGATCAGTAATACAAGATTCACAAAACAGAGATTTTGTCATGAATCCTATTCTCGTCCACAATGTTGGAGAGTGTCCTGTTAAATATGCACATAGACCAAGGTGAGCGACACACTCAGGCTCTTTAGAGCCTCTAGTTTCAAACGGTTCACATAATTCTATGCATGGTTGACAATCTATTGATCATCTTGCGGTTGAATAAAAATTATTAAGAATTTGCACGCATATTTAGTCTGAAGAACATATTCTGTCATTTTACGAAAAGATATTCAAAATGACGAAAAGCTATATTTCATCAAATTTGCCAATAAAATTTGTAAAAGAAATAAAAAGGTCGTACACTAATCTTCCTAGGACATTTTTATGTCAGGTAGACGACCTTCAAGTAAATCAACGACAGGTGTGATAACTTGTTGTTACAGATATCAAATCGGTACATTACGTTTGCGCGCATTTGGGGATTAAATATTTTTACGTTAATTTGTGCGCAGCTTTTCATTAATTTACATTCATTTTACAGGTAAAACAGGTAAAAATAAAGATAATTTTTAATAAATTTGACCATAGTTATCCTGAATTTTCAATATATCTATAAATTTAAATTATATATATAGACAGAACACATATAAGACAGAACACATAAGTCTGGGATATTTCATGGCGATGCACAATATATAATTGCAATGGAATTTAGGTTTATGTCTTTTGGGTCATGTTGCATAGCAAAGAATGTCTTGACAGGGAAAAAAAGGGGAGTTTCTTCATTTTGTATCATATTTTGTAGGACATTTGTCTGTATTATTACTCTTTTTTACACAACTGTTTACAATTCGATAAAAGAGCGGTTTTATTGACCAGATGACACTGTTTATAATCTATTTTACACTTAGATATTTTGGCTGATTAAGATATCAAATTACAGTAACTTTTTTTTAAAATGGTATTTCATTTAAACATATTTTATTTGTCATTACATATAACAAAAAGGATCAGACACAAGTAATCACAACTTAGATAGTCCTCTCCTAAATATAATAAGTTATAATATATAAATATAAAGACATGCAACAACAACATTAGATAATTATATATAGATTTGTACAATAGTTATAAAAAAAAAGAAGAAAGTTCACAATTTCCCAAAAAGATAAACAACAGTCCTACGTCAAAAAGCTTAATTCATCGACATACTTAACTATATCAGTTATTATAATAAAAAAAAAAAAAAAAAAAAAAAAAAGAAAAGAAAAAGAAAAATATCTTTCTAAAGGTCAAAACGTTCACTTTTCCGAATAAAATGCAAGACTTCTTTAATTAAAGATGTATTTTGACTGAGAGTTAAATTTTCGTTTCCATTTAGTAAAGTACCAAGATCTAAAGACGGGACAAAAATTAGTTTGTCTAAAAGGCGAATTCTGATTTGTGCATAAAGCGGACATTCAAAGAAAAAATGAAATCTGTCTTCAGACCGACTGCCGCACCGCACCGACAGCTTTGATAATTAATATTTTGAATCTAAAAAGGTCAGAATTTAGAGTTGAACATGCATGTCTAAGCCTTGTTAATATTATGTTTGCCTTACGTTCTCCAACATAATAGTATTTTGGGGCTTTAGATTGATGTGATATCTTTCGTAGAGAATACTTAAATTTGGAGATTGAATCTACATTTCTAATTGCACTATCGATTTTATTCCATTTTCTTATAGTATTTGGAAAATATGAATTTTTTGTTAGTTCTAATCTACAAAAGGGTACTATGAGGTCAGGGTTGTTACGAAGATTATATCCAGAAATAGTTGATACAGGAGGTGGTATTAGTGTTCGTAAATAATTAGGTGCTTGTCCATTATAAATATTATAGAATAACTGATTGAGAAGTTTTCTTCGGTTTGTTCTATCAGAAAAAGGTTCCCAACCCGTTTCAGAATATAAA